TTTAACTCAAGGACGGTATGGAAGAAACGAGGGCTGCAAAAGAATCATCTATGAAAATAGGTATCAAAGGGTTTGCAGGTTGTTGAAATCATCGCCAGACTATCGATATCAAGATTGTCATCATGAATTTACACCATTATCTACTTTGAAAGTGCAATCCGATTTTGATCTATCGATATAATTATATAACACGATACTTAAGTAACTATACACTATGCAATTGCAATATAAGTATGCAATGGTACGAGCTTTTCTGTATTATTGCTTTTGTATAATTTTATTTTAATTGCAAGAATATAGTTTATCGCAGCCACGGAGCGTTTCTCCAAGTTTGCTTTTGAGGAGGTGAATCTACGTCACTACCCCTAAATAAAGAACTCACGAGGACGTATGACATATTTTTTTTAATTTCTTCTTTGACAAATGCAATTGCACTCTTGCAAATCAACTGCTGTCGACGTCTGTTATCGAAACCTAATTACTGTAAAAGTTCGACATAAAATATATTACAGTACCAACTTACATCATAATTCTCGGTTACTTTGTAAAGGAAAGTTGTTGGTCGAAGGTAAGTGAGTACTTAGTACTTTTATTTGTAATTTAAAGCTAAGATTGTTTTTGTTTCAGATTCGACAGCTGTTATTTTAAACTGACCGGTTCCAGTATCTTTGAAATATTATCTCCGTTTGTTACAAACGGGGTCCGTATTATACTTAAAGATGTTATGTTTGAATTCGCATATCATATACTTACTTCTTTATTTCAATAGTAATACTTAATAAAAATGTTTTAAATGAAAATCCTATATTCATAGAGATGATTTTTTTACAAGTATCTACTTATAATAATAGGTTAGGTAATACCAACATGGATATATTATGTTGATAGGAATTTAATATCCATTGACTTGAATGTGTTTCAGACACTGTTTTTAAAAAAAAATGATTAATTTTCCTTTTCACCATTTTTTATGTGGCGGAGTAAGATATAGGCTGAAGAATGTAACCTGCGACTTCTTACGCTATGGAGCTGTGTATATTATATTTCTATTATACTAACATGAAAATTTATAGTATTTGTTATTTGATATAACCACAAGTTAAAATATGTTTGTTTTTTTTTTAAAGTATGACTACCACAATGAATAACTGTCTGAGAATTCAAATTGCCTATTTAATGGTATGATTTTAGTTTAAACTGAAGTCAGGATCATAATAAAAGTACGAACGTATTACACAATTGGGTTTTGTATCAGAAATAATATAATTGGAACCCAAAAAACAAGTTTGCATTAAACGTTCAAACACTTAAAACCTGTTTTAAATTCGTTATTTGTTATGATTTGTGCTTACACGAATAAACGATTTATTATATTTTTATATTTATTAACTATATTTTAAATAAATTTCCGGTAAATCATAACCTTTCCAAACATTACCAAGGTTAATTACAGTTGACATTACACATTTTAACATCAAATATGAAATGGCTAATTCTTGGCTAAGTTCTATCTTCTTTCTATACCTATTTTGTAATAAACTCACATCATTTGACTGTCAAGGCTAAAGTCTTATCGACTATAAATGTCCTTTTATTAATTAGATAATGTACCTGTTCGTCATTTCATCTTTTCCTGCCTTGCCTGCCCTGCGTTTCATGCGTCCTGTACGACTCCACTATACTCGAAACTAGGTTAGTTGAAACATTGTTGGCCAATTTGATGATAGACAATAGTTTTACTAACTTGACCTAAACTAAAATAGAGAAGTAGCCTTTGAAATCACAAGCCATCTTACTTATCACCCATTGAGGAGCCTGGAGCGTGGCGGGGTTCGAACCTGGACGTGTAGATTACAGTCTGCGATGGTCGAGAGCTTGACAACTGCGCCGCCGACGCTTCGTGTCCGATAATAAATCTACGAAAACCTTGTGTGCTAGCAAAAATATTTCTGTTCCTTCGTATATCATTTCTAATCATATTTGTCTTCGTAAATTGCGTCTTTTTATTTACTCGTATGACCTTTCTTTTAGATTACATGAAGTAGATTATTTAGTGTAACAAAGTATTCTGACCTGGAATTTAGTTTTGAAATTCAAACGTCACGCTCTACAACACATCATATATTTTAAAACAGTTTAAATTATTTTTCTAACACAAAATAGACTAATTAACTAATCTGGTTATTAATTAGGTGTTGAAAGATACGAATTAATTTTTTGACGGCTGAACTCAACAATTGATCTCTGAGTATATTCAATATCCTAAAGATATTTTTTTAAATTCAATTTCTTTAAATTTAACCGATCTGAGGATTGTGTAATATTAATCGTATCAGTTGCTTGGTCGATTGATCTATTTGTTCCTGGCAAACTCATTTTAGGTAATTGTCCAAGGTGCAAATATTCTGTAGAATTATCTAAAATTTGTTGTTTTTCATTAAAAAGACATTCTTTGAATTAATGTACATTGTATAGCATCCTTTTCCTTCAAGAAATTATCTCATTAACCGTGGGTTTCTGATACCAAAAAACCCAGTTTAAAACAACTTGTTACCTTAGTTTTGTCAAAGATAACAAGGATGACGATATGTTTTATACAGAGATTTTGATTTCAGGAACCAATGGTAAGAAATGTAAAGGCCATGTTGCGTTTCAGTTAGGTATTTTTGTTTTTGCAGGTTGAATGCTACTTCCTTAAAGGGTATAAGAGATAAGATATAGTTCACGTGCATTGTATTCTGTGCATTTCTTGTACTATAGTCTTTGTTGTTCATATTTGAGTATATGATGAACTTGACATGGTTATGAAGATTTTGTGTAGAAATATTGTATGGAAGTCACGATTTTAAAAGTTTCTATGTATGTTCAAATATGTCATGGTGATCGTTTTTGCCACACAAAAGCATACTGTTTTTGGTGACTATGTCATCACTGTTGCAAGGTCCATTACGTGAAAGTAATAAAAATAAACAAGTTCAGATATTTTATCATTTGAATTATATAATTCGTCAATTGTCTTTAATGATTTGAAGTTGGTGGCAAGATTATTTATGTAAAAGTGAATCTTTATCATGTACTAGCTGACGCCCGCGACTCCGTCCGCGCGAAATAAAAATAAAAATTGTAGCCTATGTGTTATGGATTATTTTCTATGTGCATGCCAAATTTCATCAAGATCCGTTTGGCAGTTCTGGAGATACATTCAAACAAACATCCATCCATCCATCCATCTAAACATTCGCATTTATGATATTAGATAATAAATAAGATTATGGCAATTTCTTTTTTAGCCGACTTCAAAAAGAAGGAGGTTATGTATTATTACTTTCTCGCTATTTGACGTTGACCAGGAATTATATTGAAACGTAGGCGTGAAATATTCAATTTGGGAACATTATTCTAAACCCAACCTTGCGAAACTGCGCGGCCTTATGTAGTGAGTAATTTTGCACGGTCTAGTCTACACAATTATTTATCTGTTATACGAAATTTCACATTTTCATACTTGATAAATTAATTTAAACACATTTAATAATGAAATCGTGAATGTTTTGGTGTTTGCGTTTGCTAGTTGTCTTGCGTTCTTTAGTTGTTATTAATGTCGCTGGTGTTTGTCGGGTCGTCCAAATTTCTGACATAGTTGCGTAGGACAGGAGCCAAACAGTAATAATTAAAAGGAAACATTATAAGTAACAACTTCTAGTGTCCTTGATATGACCAGTTATATTTTGTGACATTAATCGTTGTTATTACACACTTATGTGAATTAACAGGATATATTACATCAAAATATAACATTTTTAAAATGTAATAATTATATTTAAATACTAGCTGTTGACCGCGATTACTAGTATTTCGTCTGCGTGGAATTAGAATTAAAGCTTAAATAGTACCATATATGTTCTTCCAGACTATGCTCTACATCTGTGCCAAATTTCAACGAGATCCATCCAGCTGTTCTGGAGATATCTTCCAACATCTAAACATTCTCATTTATAATATTAGTAAGATATAGTTGTGTACATTGAGTGACAATAAACTAAATTATTATTGGCTTGTTCTATGTTTACTTCAGTATCCGAATTTCTGTGAATTTAACTTCTAACTAAGAGTATGTATGCGAGTCTGGATGGATAGATATTTGTTACTACGTATCTCTAGAACAGATCTATTATGATAAATGTAAACTTTATTTGCATATATCTTATCTCTCAACTGAGTCATATTCATGGTTACACTGAGTTATTTATGAATGGACCCTACTACGAAAATGCTAAGGTAATGGACCGACAGCCAAATGTCGTGTAATTCTGTTAGTACGGAAGTTCAATGCTTAAAGCTATAAACATGAGTACTCGTTTTTAAAGACATTTCCTTTTTAATAATATGACGGACGTATGTCAAACCGGTACAGTCTCGGGTCGAATTATAGGCAAAATCACAGTTAAAATAATTTATACCAGTTTGACCTTTAACATTTTAAATGATATTTATTTAAACCTATACGGGAAAGAATTAATTAAACTTCTTGTTGCCTAATTTTAAGGGATGTTCGGACATCAACAGCCTCCCTATCACATCCTGTTCATCAAAGTACATATTGCCTAGAAATAGTGTACGTACTTAAATGTATATTGTATTATTTTATTATGTTTCCATTATTTACATTTTATTTTGATAATTTACCAATACACTACGAAGTTACATCATATTATTTCATATCAAATAAAAAGCAGAGTGTAATAATCGTCGTGTTTTATTACCTAGACTATATTAAGCACTCCACTTTTACTTGTTGAATAACAGCACTGACATTTTAACCACCCTGTTGACTTTAATGGCAAAGAAATAAGTCTTTAACCGGACAATCTCAAGGTCCGTGCGCTCGACACTAACTCTTCGTACTAACAAACGGAACAATATGAAATCGAAAGGCTATCACTGACTCACGAACGTATGCTTTGTGGGCAAAGCTCGCTCGCCTTGGCAATGAAAGTGAAGCGGACTCCGTGGTCTGCAGACGTATAAAAACCGGAGCACACGTTTTCAAATTATTCAGTTGCCACCATCAAACACCACCAACATGTTCGCTAAGGTGTGAATTATTTTTATTACAACCAATCAACAACATGCGTTAAACTGATTAGTCAAAGTTATATTTGAATGAATTATAATAAATCTGTAATTGTAGGTGAAATTATTAAAAAAAATCTTTATTCCCAGGTTATCGTCGCTCTGTGCGCTATAAGCGCGGTTCGCGCTAGCGGACTGTTGGGAGTCGCCCCCGTGGCGTATAGCAGCCACTCGATTGCTGCTCCCGCCATCTCTTCTGTGTCTTCGTACTCCACCCAGACAGCACACGCCGCGCCCATCGCCACCTACGCCGCCGCTCCGGCAATCGCCACCTCATACGCGGCTCCCGTCGTGAGCAGGACCATCACTCCTGCTGTCTCCTCCGTCTCTTCCTACTCTACTCAGACCTCGCACGGCGGTCCCATCGCCACCTACGCCGCTGCCCCAGCCATCGCTGCTGCGCCCGCCATCGCCACCTCCTACGCGGCTGCGCCCGCCATCGCCACCTCCTACGCGGCTGCTCCCGCTATCGCCACCTCTTACGCGGCTCCCGTCGTTAGCAGGACCATCACTCCTGCCGTCTCTTCCGTGTCTTCGTACTCCACTCAGACCTCGCACGGAGCCCCCATCGCCACCTACGCCGCTGCCCCCGCCGTAGCGACCTACGCCGCCCGCACCATCGCCGCTCCAGCTGTGGCCGCCTACACCACCCGCACCATCGCCGCCCCAGCTGTCGCCGCGTACGCCGCCCGCGCGTACGCCGCTCCCGCCGTCGCCGCTTACGCCGCGCCAGCCGTGGCGGCTTATGCCACCCGCACCATCGCCGCGCCCGCTGCCACCTCCTACTCCTCCTACAGCACCCAGACCGCGCACGGATCTCCCGTCGTCGCTAGGGCCTACGCTCCCGCTATCTCTGCGTACGCGTCTCCCGCGTACTCCACCTACGCCGCCGGCCCTGCCTACTCCTCCTACGCCGCCGGCCCTGCCTACTCTACCTACGCCGCGGCCGCCCCGGTGCTCCGCTCCTCCATCGCGTACTCTGCCGCTCCCGCCCTCTCCCACGTCTCCTACGGCGCTCACGGTGCTAACTATGGTTGGTAAACTGAATCCAATGCTCTAATCTGTAAATAGCAAAAAAAAACAAAATATATGAAATGCCATATTAAATATATTATTTTCATTACATCCTTTTTTCATTAATATCCTACTGATCGGATTACAACACAAAAACTTCTTGTTTCTATTTAATTCTTGATAAGAAATTGCACAAAAATATTTAATTGCATTATAACTACATAAATACAGAAAGCAATAAAACATATAAACTAAAGTACTTACACGAAATGACCTATGCATCTACTCATAAAAATCGCATGAATCAATTCATCTAAAATCATTGAGTACAGGTGCCGTAATAAATGAAAAGAAAATATAGTAATCGACTGCTTTGTTCTGTATGTCACAAATATCTCTTTTTTAAAACATATTAGTACGTATTCATATGACTTCGTGTTAGAGTGTATAACTAGTCGCTAAGACATTAAAAGCTAGTGTGTCATTGATTTACCAAGTGTGCAGCAAGATTATTGACTTAACAAAGGCCTTTTTCAATATCTTCAAAAGACACCCTGCCTTTTGATGGAAAGTCAGGGTTATGTAAAATTCCTAATCACTAAAACCCACTGCTTTTTCATCCTTAATTGCGACTGCGAGGGTCCCTCATTTTGAGTCTAGTATAATTACCAAATAAGCTGATTTAATTTCTAATCATAAAATTAAAATTAACATGCAATTTGGTTTGACTGAGTATTCAATTGTATTCCACTTATATACGAGCAAAGGAGTATGTAGACTAATAAATAAGCCCGACTGGCCACTAAAAATGTTGCACATAAAATTTGGAAAAAAAAATTAAACAAAATGTTGTAAATCGCGGAAGACAATAAATACATTGTCACAAAACGGATTGTAAAAGAAGTCGTACATTAAAAGTAATAGAAGGAATGTAAAAATTATAAAACTTATTTAATTTTAACAATCATGACATCTTTAAATGCCGAGTTGTTTATAACATAATCATTTACTTATATACGAGATGGACCTACAATGCCGCCAATTTTTTCGAGAGTATGTTAGAAGAGGGAGGATTAAGCGATTTGAAGCGGCATTAAATTAACAAAAGAACTTTGGTAAAGAGATTATGGCTATGAAGAAATATGTCTGTTATTGGCAGCCTGATTTTTTTGTTCGGATTTTAAAACATAATCAGCAATTGTGAGATTTGGGCTTTGCAAGCCCAGATACTCTGCTACCATGCGATGATGGATAAAGATTGAAGCAGCAAAAGATACCGCTTCAGAGCCTCCGTGTACCTGGACCTGCAACATCTGCAAACAATTGACTGGCAGGAGACAGTGCAGGGCAGGCGATGTTGACGTTCTCTGCTGCCAAGATCCACTATAGGTCGCTGTACCAACAGATTAGTAGCAGTGTAGAATGATGAACTTTATTTTGAGAATTACAGAAATGTAACTTTGTGTTTTGTATTAGGTGAGGATGATGTAGACTTTCAAGTAAATATGTCTGTAGGTTTCGATGCTCGAAGCACGCGTGTAAATTAACATTTTCATCCCTCTCATTCTCTACAAAAAAATTGAGACAACAATAAATCTTACTATTATTATTAATGCGAATGTTTAGATGGATAGATGGATGCATGGATGTTTGTTTGAAGGTATCTCCAAGACGGCTAAACGGATCTCAATGAAATTTGGCATACATATAGAACATAGTCTGGAAGAACAAATAGGCTACTACTTATTATTATTATTTTTAATTTCGCGCGACCGGAGTTGCTTGCGATCGCTCGTATCAATGTCACGGCAGTGGAATTTCATTACAAAATAAAAAAGAGTAAAAATGTTTTCATCTCATTATAATGTTCAATAGGTGTGGGGAGAAGCATAGAAGTAAGAAGGAGGTCTTTTTTTAATAAGTATGGGGAATATGATACATATTATCGTGACAATTACAATAAAAAGGAATTCAGCATACAATTATTTTGACTGACGACTATTTTTATATTAAGTTCATTATATTCTATTGTATACATTTTCGGTTCTATAGATAAAAATAGAATTTATTTAAATAACCGTTATTTTAATAAACCTATAATCTTTTTAGATGATCCCCCCAACGCCTTGTACTATAAAAATAAAATAATAAAACATTTAAATGTTATCTAGAAGTAATTGATATTAAACATTTTAATGTCGTCGAATTGGCACGAAGTGAGCGTATGATATTTTGCGCAATTCCTTAATAATAATTAATCAAGGTAAACCTTTTATTGACTAAAACTATGCACATGCACTGACGTGTAGAGAAACAATTTATCATCCCGGATAAATGTTTAAAAGAATTGTTACTACTATACATTACCTTTGATAGAGAAACTATTCATATTTAGCTAATGTGTTCAAATATTACTTACCATCGAATAGTTGAATCGAATTGACATGGGATAGCGTCAACAAAGGTTGCTTATGATTGTCGACTTGTGGTTTAAATCACAAGGTCATCATTTCTTTGTCCTCATACCCTATAGTAGTGTTTAATAATAAAATAAAAAAAATAGTTATAGTCATTATTTATTGTAAAGTCTAAATGCAAATGAAATTATAAACTTTGCACATATTTAGATATGGCTTGTCCAATTTTTAGAAAACATTAATTTAGATTATCAACGTAATCTAGAGATTCTAAGGAGCACATCGATGTTTATTTTTTGCCTGGTTATCCTATGTACATTCCATAGAAAAAATTGTCCCTTTTTTAATTTAAACTATTTAATTTTTTTTTTTATAAAAGAAAAGTAATTTTTAATTATTTCATAATAAAGAACCTTTTCGATCTTGTTTTGACCCTCTTTGTAAAATGTAAGTTCGTTGACAATGAAAGTGAAATGAACATATTGGAGCAGTATAAAAACCGGAGCACGCCTTGCTAAATTATTCAGTTGCCACCATCAAACAGCATCAACATGTTCGCTAAGGTGCGTTCATTTAAGAGATTTGTTAAGTTTAATATATGAAGTGCATTAATTGTTAACTGAAATACCGTGGATTATTACAAATATACAAAGTTAAAAAAATGTCCTAAAAAAATAATTTTCTTGAAAATGTTACCGTTATACATGTAGAATTCTGACAAACTTGTTTTAAATAAACATTTTTCATATTTTTAGATTGTCGTCGCTCTGTGCGCTATAAGTGCGGTTCGCGCTAGCGGACTTTTGGGAGTCGCCCCCGTGGCGTATAGCAGCCACTCGATTGCTGCTCCCGCCATCTCTTCTGTGTCTTCGTACTCCACCCAGACCGCACACGCCGCGCCCATCGCCACCTACGCCGCCGCTCCAGCCATCGCCACCTCGTACGCAGCTCCTGTCGTGAGCAGGACCATCACTCCTGCTGTCTCCGCCGTCTCCTCCTACTCTACTCAAACCTCGCACGGCGCTCCCATCGCCACATATGCCGCCGCCCCGGCCATCGCTACCTCCTATGCGGCTGCTCCCGCCATCGCCACCTCGTATGCTGCTCCCGTCGTGAGCAGGACCATCACTCCTGCTGTCTCCTCTGTTTCTTCTTACTCTACTCAGACCTCGCACGGCGCTCCCATAGCCACCTATGCCGCCGCCCCGGCCATCGCAACCTCCTACGCGGCTGCTCCCGCTATCGCCACATCCTACGCGGCTCCCGTCGTTAGCAGGACCATCACTCCTGCCGTCGCCTCCGTGTCATCGTACTCCACTCAGACGTCGCACGGAGCTCCCATCGCGAGCTACGCCGCTGCCCCCGCCGTAGCGACTTACGCCACCCGCACCATCGCCGCTCCAGCTGTGGCCACCTACGCCACCCGCACCATCGCCGCTCCAGCTGTGGCCACCTACGCCGCGCGCACCATTGCCGCCCCAGCTGTGGCCGCATACGCCGCCCGCGCCTACACTGCTCCCGCAGTGGCCGCTTACGCCGCGCCAGCTGTGGCGGCTTATGCCACCCGCACCATCGCCGCACCCGCCGCCACCTCCTACTCCTCCTACAGCACCCAGACCGCGCACGGCACCCCCGTCGTCGCTAGGGCCTACGCTCCCGCTATCTCTGCGTACGCGTCTCCCGCGTACTCCACCTACGCCGCAGGCCCTGCCTACTCCTCCTACGCCGCCGGCCCTGCCTACTCCACCTACGCCGCGGCCGCCCCGGTGCTCCGCTCCTCCATCGCGTACTCTGCCGCTCCCGCCCTCTCCCACGTCTCCTACAGCGCTCACGGTGCTAACTATGGTTGGTAAACTGAATCCATTCCTCTAATCTGTAAATAGACTGATTGTATTAAATGAAAATAGACAATGAGAAATAAACCAAAATAATGATACCTCAACTCTTTTATTTGTATCTTTTTACCTGTTTCTTTAGTATATTACACATTTGATAACATGATCCTTCTAGGCAATAAAGTCTCGTAAGTTCAAATAATTAGGTATAGATTTGCAACCAATTAAAACAAAATTGAAGGAGCAAGGAAGTTGCAAAAATGATACACAATAAAATACGCGTGATAAACATTAAAGTGCCGCGATAAAGAAAAACAAGAATGTGTAATAGTATTATAATTTATATATGAAACTGTATATATGAAATTAAATATATTCATAATTAGCTGATAGTCAGTTACCAGGTTTTTATATTATACCAGGTTTCATTATGCTTAATAAATAGCAACTAAAAAAAGGTTGCTATTATTAAAGAGCACAACTACTATATTTAGAAATTGGCAAAAGCCAACTGTTGTAAAAGTCACCTCAACACGTACAAGCAGTAAATAGTAGAAGCCATAATAATTTAGAAAGAATATGCTGTCAGAAACCGCCAATAGCCAAATATGTTGCCGTTAAAGCGGGAATTGGTCACAATTTTCAGATGCGCGAATTTGAAAACTGCTTGTAATGGAATGCCAAATAAGGACACTTCACTGTACAGTGTACATACTTCACTGTATATATAATAACATATTTTTAACTTTCATGTCAGCATGGGTATCAAATGAAAGGGTTTGACTAGCAGAATATTACTATCATCAAATTCTAACAGAAATTAAATAGGAAATAATTAATAAGGAAGGAATTGATTTAAAAAGATTTATTTTATATATTTATATATGTCCTTAAAAAATCTAAACCTATTAAGGATACAAACAATGCAACTCCTAAATTTTGCGTGATTTTAATGTTGGTAACATTTTTTTATTACTCATCTATTAAAGATACGAGTCATTGATAAATTGTTTTTCGCGTCGGTTTTCTTTTGTTCTACTACTACTGTATTGTGCCTGTTCAACTATATTTCCATATTCGTGGGCGTAAAGGGACGATCAATAGAGAAATATAATGCCAATTTCCGCACTAGAATAGCTTTAATTGGCTCAGTCATTTGCTTTATGAATTGAGCAATTATTTGACATGGGTAGCATCTGTCGCGGCCCGATTCCGTCGCTTCGGGCCTACGCCTTTTGCTCTCTACAATCGTGCCTTTGTTGTAGATCAAGAAGGAAGTGCAATTACACAAATGATCTTAAAATTGCTTTCAATATTATAACTTCAGAATTTATGAAACCAGATCATGAATTCTAAACAAGACACAATAATATTGGTCCTTCATTCTACTTTATCAAATAAGAAGTTGGCTTTTACATGAAAAAAAATATACTAGTGTAAATGAATAAAAGAATGTAAATAATCTTAATAACATTATAAATGCGAATGTTTAGTTGGATGGATGGGTGGATCTATTGTTTGAAGGAATCTTTAGAACGGCTGAACGGATCTCGATGAAATTTGATAAAATATTCTGGAAAAACACATGGGCTACCCAATCATGTTTTTATTAGTTCCGCGCGGTTTCGCAGTCATCTACTAGTACGTTATAAATGTTCATTTTGATATAATTATTATATATATGATATAATTAACCTAAGGAGCATTTTTTTAATAATCATCATCAATCATTGTAATATGTGTTTATTGTAATATTAAATCAATATTTTTCGTCAAAGAACTCTATGTCGGTGTATAAATCGTGCTCTACTTAATAGCAATTTTATACGAAACATTGTTAGTGTTATTCTTAATACTTCATTCGTCCAGGTCTCGAATGTGTCTGAGACAGTTTTAAACTAAGAAATTTACACATGTGGCCTCATATATATGCGTTCAGTTCATGAGTTGTTTTTAAACGATTCAGTTGCAATATATTTACGGGCTGCGGTTGCAGTCGGCGCCCTTTCATAAAGGTATTTAGTTCGCAATGCTATGATGCAATTATGTAACAAACGTAGTAATTCCAAAAAGATGGAAATAAAACAGTAAGAAATGTATAAATTGTCTTCAAGTAAATCAAATCACTCCAGTCACTCTTAACTTAGGGTAGGCTCCGAGCCCCTCGGTGGGGACCTATAGTGAGCTGATGATGATGATGAAATCAAATCAATTTGTTAAAGGACGGTCATACACTATGTATTGAAGATGCAATTAGAATGATGGTCTGTTTTGATGGTATTATAGTATTTCCGTAGCGTTCTAACACTTCAATATCGTTCAAAAAAGAGTAGTAAGCCGTTAGGGAATTTAGCCTTAGTTGTATTCTCAAATATAGTTTGTAGTCAAAACAATTGGCTGATTATGACTTTGACTGTGTATAGCCCATCGCTTATTTATAATAATTTGATATAGTCTACCTGGCCTGGCCTATAAATCTAAAAATATGTATGCTTTGCTGCTAGTTCGATTAATTATTATCATAATGTATGATACTATACGGCTACACAGTCCATGTATAGAAGTGGACTATTGCCGCTTGACATTTATTAATTCGGGCGCATAAACTGGGTGGAGTGCCACCATGACATTGTTACAGTTGCAAATGCAGGAGCTGCTGAATAGAAACGACGGATTAGATAAAATAATCTCTCAATTAATATCATAAACACCATTTTGCAATGAACCAATCTGTTGCAGTATATTGCGTCAGGTAACTTTGAGGATTCGATACCAGTTTTCTGGCGTTGTATAAAAGTGAATGCAATTGCTCTAGTAGGCATTCTGTTATCAAAACACAGTCTAAACATGTACACTACGGTACGGATTTCATCATGTGTGAATTGTGGTTTCAAATAAGTGATCAATTTTTTAATTGGTTAAATATCTCTTTCAGGTAGCGTTGCTTCTGTGCGTAGCGGGCATCGCATCCGCCGGGAACCTCCTGCATGGAGGCGCCCCCCTTTCGGTAGCTGCGTACAGCGCCGGGCCCGCGCTGGCATCGTACGCCGCACCAGCTGTCGCTACCTACGCCGCAGCTCCCGTGGTCACAAAGACGATCGCTGCCGCTCCAGCTTACGCGACATACGCAGCCGCGCCTTCGGTCTCTTACCAAACACTATCCGCTCCTGTTGCCACTTACGCCGCGGCTGCCCCCGTCGTTTCCAGCACTTACGCGGCTGCCGCACCTATAGTCACTAAGGCGTACGCTGCACCCGCATACTCCACCTATACCGGAGGCTCGGCGGTGTCCTACCAAACCGTCACTAGACAGTCATCCCCGGTGGCGTACGCCGCCTCCACATACGCCGCCGCAGCGCCAGTTGTTGCTCGCACGTACGCCGCCCCAGCTGTTTCATATGCAGCCCCAGCTATCTCTGCGTACCACGCCGCTCCCGTGGCCTCTTATGCTGCCGCTCCTCTGGTCACTAAAGCGGTCGCGGCTCCCGCCCTCGCTGCCTATGCTGCACCGGCTCCCGCCGTTTCTTACACGTCTATCGCGTCACACGCCGCTCCCGTAGCGTATGCTTCCGCTCCATTAGTAACTAAGGCATACGCTTCCCCGGTTGCCACATACGCTAGTGCACCATTGATTTCCAAGACTATCGCACCAGCTGTAACCTATTCGTCGATTGCCGCTCCCGTGGCCTATAGTGCTGCGCCTGCGTATACCGCCGTCAAGTCATACTACACCGCTGCCGCACCGGTTGCCTACAACCACGGATGGTAAACAACCAAAGCGATCGTTAATTTTTTAATTAACATATGAAAAATTGTTTTTGTTATTTTAAATTATTATTAAGGAAAAATTAAATCAATTGACTTATCAGAAATATAACATGTGTTTTTTTATTCATATAAAGGTTGCCTTTGAAGCTGTTTGTAAAGGGATTTAATGTTCATACATATGTTGCAACCCAGTTCGCCAAACAGAAACTATAACTATGAATTTTAATATCTAACATATTGATTTTTGTTGCGACAAATTGGATTAATGCTACTGAAAATACAATATTGATATTCGAAAAGGATTGAAAAGTATGAATGGAATGACATATTTAATCATTTCACCTTTAGAATAAACACAAATGCAGTTTGAATTTATTAACAAAGTTACATCAGTAAAAATTGCTATATTTTTGGACAGGGGCAAATTTTTTTTATCAGTAACACTCGTAGTAACTTCTTTCACAAAGTTTTACTTGTGTGAAAGTGTCAATTATTAGGCAGGTTAATGAGTTATATCTTAAATGAATAACTGTTATGTTTTACTTTTATGTAGGTACAGCAAGACATTTTTAAAAAACTTTTAAAAATACGTAAATATCAAATTTAATTTAATATCACTTAGTTCCATATTATAAATAAAATAAAAAAACTGTACTTCTTTCACATGAAGGCTAATCTAAAAACTGTAAAGCTTTTCTGATCTAGTTTTAAAGCTTCCTTACAAACTGAAAAGCTTTGCGCCGCGTAAATCGTTTCTAGGAAATGTAGTTCAAAAGTTTCTTTTTGACATTCATTAAGATACCTCCAAAATGTACGGCTAGAATTGTCTACGAATCTCTTTAAACATGAGTATTTTAGAGTGTTCACAATGATCGAGGACTGTAAGGAAAAGATGTGGGACTGAACAAAGAGCTTTTTTAGAAATATGCCGAAAAGACTACTAAAAAATGATATATTTTAAATGAACAGTTATATATATTGAAATAAAAGTAAATACCTATGCTTAAAATGCAAAAATCAAAAGGAATGTGAAACGTTATATGCATATATTCTTTAGTACACATATGAATGTTTGAAAGAACAGTGAAGTGACGACAGAGGGCGCTGGGATCATTATAAATATTGTCATACGTTGTTAATGATATATCGGGATGAGTCATTAGTGGATATTGCGTGATAATGCAAGTTTTTGATTAATGGCAAAATAATGTTTCTAAAATATATTTAATGCAAAAAGTGTAATAATTTTAAAGTGTAAAACAAATGTTTTAAGTAATCTGAACAAAAGTGGATATTAAAATGTAAATGTTTTTAATTTTAATGTTTACGTATACTGGTTAGTTATGTATTTATAAAGTTATTATCACAATCTTGAAGTATAATATACTATGATTTAATATGAAAATACTTTTGCAAAAACATTTACTCCTTTAATTCCAAAAAACGTTATAAAGCATAGCTCTCATGATTGCTACTCGTATAAAAGCGTATGAAAACTTTTAGTTGTGGCACAGGGCATTTAAGTTAAAGTTATATGAACAAGAAGTTGTCGGAATTTAATCTATGACCAGAATGAATTAGGAACAATGAATTTACCGTAGGTTTTCACTGCTGAAGTACTGAAGTACTGGGAAGTTTATAGAAGAGCGATGATAAAATTTGTTTACAGTAGTTTAAAAACATGACAGGCAACAAACCACTCTGTGTAATAATGTCGAGCCAAAACTAAATAACAAGTATCAAGCCTCAAGGCATATTGTTTTTAGGATAAAGATTTTGTCAATTGACATTTATTAATTGTTGTGATATGTGTAGCATTTAATGTCGAAATGAAAACAGATACAAGCGTAAACAATCCTTAACACAAGTGAATACAGTCGAATTTCCAATGTTTAGTAAAATTATTGCTCAAAAGAAGTTCAATGTGCCGCCAGTTTGTCTGAGACGAGATCTCTTGCATATTGTGTATAATCATTAATGTCACTAATTTATTAGGATTAAGGCTATTTAAGTTGAAAGGTTGTCTAACAGTGATGGGATTAGTTTATAAATTAGGTAACTTTTAAGTATTATATCACAATAATACACAAATGAATCAATTATATTTTCTGTACAATAAAATCCAATCTTTTGACTGAGTAAAAATTAGAAATAAGAATTCTCCAGAATTAACTATAACGTACAATTATACGGTTACTATGGTACTCCGGTACATACTTCAATTTTGATACACATTAAAATAAAAATTGTTATTATATTAATGTATTATTTTTATTATATTAAGATACGACATATTTATGGGTTAATTAAGAAAATATTTTTCCACAACCAAACTGATGAAAGGACGTTTGTATGACAGCTTGTTTTAGCAATGCGTAAACAAAATTTTAAGAAACAGTTCATGCCTTCTGGCAATAATTAGCATTGCAGTTGGGTGTAGTCTCACCATGACATTGTTACATTTGGCCCGACCTGTATGACTAACACAAATTGGTACGGCATAATAGCTCTTATGTCTTTGCAATAATTATCTTTTTGCAAAAACTGTTCTACGTAGGATGTATTGCACAAATTCGCTTCGAAGATTCGGTACCAGTTTGTACATGATGGTATAAAAGTGGATGCGAGAACTTTTGTAGTCATACTGTCATCATAACACGAACAAACATGTATACCAAGGTATTATTATCCTCAAAAATATTTTAGACGATATCTTAAAAATTTCGTTAGTTAATTTTGTAGGCAAAGATACCGATCTTGTGAAAAATTCTATTATTAGTTTACTTACATCAGTGTTTCGTTTCAATATTATGTGAAAAAATAATTGTGCCCGCGCATAAAAAACATAAGAATTTTGGTTTTCAATCTTCAATTCAAACATCTGATAAAACATGTTTACTAGAATTTAAATTAAGTTTTTCTTTGTTTTACAGGTAGTAGTACTTATGTGCGCTGCGGGCATCGCCTCCGCCGGCAACTTACTTCACGCTGCTGCTCCCGTGGCGTACAGCGCAGCACCCGCCGTGTCTCACGTGTCGTACTCGACAAGCCCGGTTGCCACCTACGCTGCCCCCGGATTGACGACCTACAGCGCACCCGTGGTTACCAAGACGCTCGCTCCATCCGTCTCTTACCAATCTTACTCCACCCACTCTTCTCCGATCGCTACCTACGCCGCACCAGTTGTAACTAAATCTATTTCTCCGATTTACTCTTCAGGCCCAGCGGTTTATCAGACGGTGTCACACGCCTCCCCTCTGTCTTACGCTTCTCCTGCATACTCAACTTACGCGTCGCCGGCGATCTCAACTTACCATTCTCCTATTGTAGCTAAAACTCTATCTCCTGCTCTATCATACTCTTCAGTAGCTAGTCACTCTGCTCCTTTGAGCTATGCTGCTGGACCCGCCTACTCCACATATTCTGCTGTTCCTGCCATCAAGGGTGCTGTTACATACTCTGCTGCGCCTGCTGTATCTCACGTCTCTTACTCTGGTTTGGGCGCCACCTATGGTTGGTAAAAATGTAGTGCTTAAGTTTTGTACATTGAAAAAATTGTTTTTATTTTTGTATATAATGTTAAGAAACAAAATTGAAAATAAACAATTTAAACAATATATTGAATTTTTTATTGTAAGCATAATATATACATAAAAAGATCTTTGGGGAGTTTTAATATTCCTTAAGAAAAATACAAAACATAAATATCGAAGTTTTTACACTTCGAATCCTGGTGTTGTGTAATTTCCATATCTTAGCTTAGCACTTTTAAAATTTATAGACACAGAGAGTAGCAGCAAATTTGAGACTTTAAAATTGTGAACTGTAAAAGCGACTTGGCCGGAACTTTAGTCGTATACAATTTGGTCCGAAATCTTTGAATCTGTAGACGACATCTGAGTTTATGAACTAGTGTATACAGGGAAGGACATGGCAAAGGCGTTTCTTAAAAATACATTTTATAAAACTTATTTTTAGCAACGCCTATATTATATTTTAAAAAAAAATTCTAGTTTTCACACATATGTTGATTTCATTATAATCAGCCTTAAGGATTCATTATCAGCAAAAGAAATTTACAAAAGCGAACATACAAATTCTTCTTTCACTACTAAGGATTTCCATTTTATAAGATTGTAAAAATCTTAATTCTAAAATACCAACAGTACCAACCCTTACTTTCATCAAATCATTAATCTGACGATAAAATAATAACTAAACTAATTTAAATGTAGATTTTAGTGCCAAAGTAGATGTATGCCAAAAATATGTCATGATCTCCCTGGCCTTATCCCACACTCACGAGGTTCTGCGCATAGTTTCAAAATGTTGGTGACGTTTTCGCCACTCAACAACAGATGGCGCTGTTGATTAATTAGATCACGATATTGATATGTTTTTCTTGCTACACATATACTCCTTGCATGTTGTGATTTTTTCGGTTTCTTTTTCGGAGATTATGTGCGCTTTTGAGGTTGTTCGTTTCGTTTCGGTTGTGTGATTGGGTCGTCTAAATACCGGACAAAGTTTCGTAGGAGTGTAAATAAGAAATATTGAAATTTATGGCTTGATTTTTACGGCCGCCTGACAATTGTTGTCAACCCCCTCGGGAATTATACAAATTAAGAAAATACTTTTTATACACAAAATAATTATATCTAAGTACTTAGTCAAATGTATGACGTATTAATTAATAAATATTAGATGTATAAGGTATCGGTGGAAATGTATGAGTATGTATATCAAATATAAATTTCTTGTTCTTATCCCTTGGGGTGTGAATGATTTATTTATATTGTTATCGCTTGATTGACTCATAGAATAATTATATTTGCACTTTGTTCAGGATTGGTCAAACTACAGGCATGAAAATTCAATAGATAGGATACAATTAAAATGTACAGAAAATGTAAGATTTATTGACATTTTTCAATAGTTTTCCCTACTATAACTTCAAGATCACTACTTTCGTGCGTGTCTTTTTTCAGTTTCTACTATTAGCTTGCTACTCGACTATTTTTGTTTATTTGAAAAGATTTGACTAACGTGCTAAAATCCAATTGAAATCACCAAAAAGTTGAATTGCTTAAAGAAAGAATTAACTTTAAAATACTTTTAACTTTATAGTGTTAAAATGTTCAACGAAATGTTATTTACATCATCACTCAATATGAAAAAAAGTTTTTTTCTTTCCTGTATATTTGCAAAAAAAAAAGAAAGATAATTGCTATATGGACATTCATGGCTTTAATGTATAAGCGCACTTTCAGGGAGGTTGACGCATCCCACGAGATGGGTCTCTATCAAACCCTAGGCGGCACCAGCGGGGGAGGGCGGTGAATCCCGAACCTGCATTGCACGGTGTCGTCTTTGAGGAGCGGCTACGGGTGCAGCGCCCCATTGGGGGAGCACTGAGGAGCCCTATGCCCTCGCTGGTCAGTGGGGCGTTACGGTGGCAAGTTAACACGATCCAGTGCCGTCCCACATTATGGCTATGAGGGAACAGGGGGGTTTAGTGGGTATGCTCCCATACGGGGAGAGAATCCCACATAACTACCGTGCCTTCCCCGAGGCACTGAGTATGCCTAAAGCATTCCCCTACGAAAGAAAAAACAAGGTTGACGCATTGCTTTAACTCATTCGAGGTCCTAGTACGTTACTTGTTTCCTATTAAATATTTCATTATTTTGACATTGAGTTATCAGTATGAAAAATTAATGGCGATATGTTCTGACATTTAATAATTGTGTTACACGGAGTAGGGGGTCGCCGTGACATTGTTACATTTGGACAGACGACAGTTGATGTGAGAAATGAGATAATTATCTCACCCATGTAGTCTTATGTCATCGGAATACGGACCATTTTGCAACTTCACTCACCAATGGAAAAATGCTATTCGATGATTTGATACCAGTTTGGGTATGGAGTATAAAAGTGCTTGTCAGTTTATTTGTATACATTCAAACATTGAAACACACAGCATCAACATGTACACCAAGGTATAGTAATATGTTAATCGACAATAAGACAAAAAAATCATAATATGATAGTACGTTCTCCGCCCTTCTCGCTGATTGTAATATCCAAGGGCTATTTCTTTATTATCAACATTTCTTTTCGGCTATACCATTTACAAAAGACAGTTATTTAAAGCAGGTTATTGTTGGAAAGAAACTTCTCATTGACGGATGGTGTTAAATTCATTTTACATTTTGGAATCAGTTTCACTTTCTTTTGTTTAGGATGTAATATGATACGTAACAAGCAAATGGTGATTGAGTAAGGAATACTTTGTATCTTCAAGAAATCTGTGACTTAATTTAGTTTTTGTTTCTAGGTTTTACTTTTCCTGTGCGCCGCTGGCATCGCGTCTGCTGGAAACCTTCTGCATGCCGCACCTGTGGCTTACAGCGCGGCGCCATCCGTATCCCACGTGTCTTACACATCACACGCGGCTCCGGTTGCATACGCCAGCCCAGCTGTCGCATACTCTGCGCCAATCGCAAAGACGGTAGCATACTCTGCTCCATCAGTCTCCTACCAGTCTATCGCTTCCCATTCCACTCCTCTTACATACTCTTACGCATCTCCGGCTATCTCCACTTACAACGCTCCTATTGTAAGTAAGACAAACTCTCCTGTCTCCTATTCTTCTGTGGCTGCACACTCCGCTCCCTTGTCCTATGCTGCTGCACCAGCATACTCTGCATATTCTTCCGTTCCGGTCAAGACAGCAGTGACTTATTCTGCTGCGCCCGCGGTCTCCCACGTCACTTACTCGGGTCTTGGTGTAAACTACGGTTGGTGAAAACGAAATTCCACGGCAAATTATTTTTTATGTGGGGAATTTTAATATGATGAAAATGTAAATAATGTTTGTAATTTATTATTGAAATAAAATATTTGCTCATATATATTTTTTTTATTTCCTACGGTTTACTGTGTAACAATTAACTTACATTTTAAATTATTAAAAGTTATAAAAAAATTCAATAAAAGCAAAAATTTCCAGGGAAAAAGGGGTAGTGGAAGCAATTCCGCGTTTCGTCTGAAGAGTGTGCGTCCCGGAGGCCTAATTTAGTCCTCTTTCCCTTCCCATCCTTTTTCTTATAAAGAAAGGATGGGAAGTGGAAGTGGACTTTCTGGGTGAGAGGATGCATGGGAAAGGAAAATACATTCTTTCTGTGCATACCCTTTTCAGTCGATTAAATGTAGGCAACGCATATGCAATTGTGTATATCTGTGGGCAACGGTCACTTCGCTATTTCAGCGATTTCAGGTGGCCGCTGGCTCGTTTGCCACTATATGATATTAAAAAAAAAATCCATGGTAGCTACTTTCTTCCAGACCTATTTACATCTTCTATTGACATTCAGTAATAAAGCTTTTGGTAGATTACATTTAGGTTCAATTTCTATATTATATAATAGCATCTTATTAAAGATAAGAGTTGATGGTTATCGGATGTCTATGGCAAGGTCACTTCACTACTTGGCTACATTAGCAAGTTCAAATTACTGCTTGCTCATTTCCCTGCTTAAATTATCAAAATAGTTAAAAGCTCGTTACCTAAAAGGAAGAAAGTCAATATTGTAGAGGAATAATTGTAATATTCTTATTAAGCATTTTATCATTTATTTAATATTTTTATTTTATTTTGTTTTTTTTTTGACGGCGATATTTAAAAAAAAATATAAAATTAGTCTTACGTACTACTATTCAACAGTAGCGTTATCAAATACAAAACCATTGAATCAAGTGAAAAATAGCTTTAGGATGCATTTGCCAAACGATGAAATATTAATTTAAAACAAAAAACGTTATATCATAGAATTAGTTTTAAAAATAAATGAAATAAGCCATATTAAAATATTTTTAAACAATACCACTAAGAATGACACAGTAGAACTAACCAGTAAGAATGTCATGTCGATGGGGGAGGCCTACGTTCAGCAGTGTGCGAATCCAGGCTGACAATGATGATGGAGACCATGTCATTGTATAGCAGTAAAATTTTGAACCGATTCATGCATTGTCCATTTACATGTATACACATTTTATTGGAAATCATTTTTTCTTAGAAAATTTAAGTTATGAATTTAATTGTAAATTCCATCAACTATTTTATTTGTAACTGAATTGTTTAAACTTTTGTGAAGTAATTAACCGTTTTTAATTAGTTTGTTTTAGTAACTTGTAACATTAAACATCTCATCGCTCATGTGCTATAGTATATACACAAAGAGCAAATTACCTCGTATATGACACTGCATTCACAATCGATGTCTTCATATCAAATATTTTAATCGCACCCGGAGGCGAACAAAACAGTATGCATTACGAAACATAAATATGTATAAGATATTGAGTCTTTAACAATAGGCCAACTTGTTTTCACCACTCTTTAAGAACGAGTACCAGACATGAAGTGCTCTATGTTTCTGTTTACGAGTCTGTTCTTGTAACAACAATATCTATAATGTGTATGTTATTTAATCGTAGTGTTTTATACAATTGATTGGAAAAAAGGGATAAGAGATAAATGGGGTTTCCCGTTGGGCCTTTTAAGTTTATAGACTAATAAACTTATTGGTCCAATAGATTTAGATTCTATGCATTCAATGAGCCAAGTGGTCAAAAATCCCATCAGCCCAACCGGAAAGACACGGTATAAAAAGGTAAAAACTAAATTGATTTTAATACTTTTATTGCAGTACATAAAAACAATATTCGCTATAAAACATCATTTTCGGATTTGTTCAATAAATAAGTAACATATTTTTTGGTAGTTTACCAGCCGTAGCTAGCGCCGAGACCTGTGTAGGTGACGTGCGAGACGGCGGGCGCAGCAGAGTAAGTGACGGCGGTCTTCAGAGCGGGAACCGTAGAGTATGCAGAGTAGGCAGGGGCGGCAGCGTAAGTTGCAACAGCTGGGGCCGCAATCGTCTTGGTCAACAAAGGAGCGGAGTACGCGACTGGAGAAGAGTGAGAGGACACCGAGGAGTAAGATACGGCAGGCGAGTAGGATTTAGCGATAACAGGTGCAGCGTAAGTTTTGGCAACCAATGGGCTGGTAGCGTACACAGGGCTGTGTGCCACTGATGAGTAGGATACCGCTGGAGAGATGGTCTTTGAAAGGACAGGAGCGGCGTAAGTGGCAACGGCGGGAGTTGCGATTGTTTTAGCGTAGAGAGCCGGGGATGAGTGGGTTGAAATAGATTGGTAGGAGACGGATGGGGCTAAGGTCTTAGCGATGACTGGGGAGGCGGCGTATGTGGTTACAGCGGGTGCGGCGGCGTAGGTGATCGGTGCAGCGTGGGTCGAGTATGAGACCGAGGACACGGCCGGAGCGGCGCTGTAAGCGATGGGAGCATGGAGCAAGTTGCCAGCGGAGGCAATGCCCGCCGCGCACATGAAGATGACGACCTGAAATAATATTAAGTCAATATCACATGGATCGGAAGTATAGCACAGATAAAAACTTTACAACTTGATCAAAAAATAGATAGTAATATTGTTTTCTTTAGTATTTTCTGACTATTATTAGATACATAGATGAATAAAAAAGTCACAATTTCATTTCGTACCTTGGTGTACATGTTTGAGTAGTGAGTTGCTCTGATGGATTAATTTTCGAAGCACATGCGTATGCTTTTATATCACCGTTGACAAACAGGTATCAGCATCGAAATAACTGAGTCCGATTCATGAACTGCCGCGGGCGATCTCATTTCAATGTCAAGGAGATCCACCGCCCAAAACATCGTACCGAACAGAATGCGGCTCATTAATCCAAAAGGTTTATGGAAGTTACACAAAGTACAAGGAAATCCTGGTAGAAATCGGAAAATGATCTTCCGATAGTGTAATATTGCTTAATTTACTTTTTATCCTTATCTGATTAAAGATAACTGTTATTTATGCATGATGTTTTCTTTGCTATTATATGCGTGATTAAGTTAACTTTACCTGCTCGAGCTCGATATGTAACAGCTGCTATCCGCCACTATTATTTTTTTTATTTTACAAAAAATTGAAGTGTGCTTTTAAATGCGATTTTAAGAAATGCTCGATTGTTCCCGATACCAGCATATTTTGAAGACGCCTGGGCTGGGTTATACATATATATGTATAATAATAATAACATTAGTAGGTCATAGTTAGTCGCACGGTAAATATTCGGAGCGTATTTAAATTTCGCCCTTCATCAGACATTATTTCCGCTATTAATGGTGAGTAATATAACCAATGTATCCTTTGATGTTGATTATTAATTTTAATCTTGTTGAAAAGTACTTATTAGAATTGATGTAACTATTAAGTTTAAATTGTGTTTACATATGCGAAGATCGATAATATGGTTTTGAAGTTTACTAAATGAAAGTTTGTGTTTGTTTTTACAACGACTTAATTTCTGACATTTCGAATAGTTACAACACAGATATTATTAGTGGAAAGTAGTTCTTGCATGTGACGACTTTTGTGGGAGCTTAAGCAATCCCTTTTATTTTTGTGGTTTACTATTCGCAGTGTGCCTTATAAACTAGATGCAGGTCACTGCTTTCTCATTAACCTTTACCTTCTAAAAGCATTAGCGTAAAACATTGATTAGGGTAAGTTAAATTACCTTAATTTCTAAAGATTTATTTTTCTACAAAGGTATCTTTAGAAATAAAAATAAGTGGTAGTTGGTTACAAATTAAATAATTTATTTCAAATTAGTATAAATCGATCTTAGGCTTTCGTACTTTACCACTTGTTTCCATAACCGCGAGCAGCATATCCAGAACTGCCGTATCCTTGTCCAAGCGCGTCGTAGGCTCCGTGTCTACCAAATCCTGAGGAGTAGGGTACATCAGGCCCTAAATATTTCTTGATGGATACAGAAGAAACAGCAGCTCCGGCCAAACCAGTGTTTCCGTAACCTGCAATACCGCCGTAACCACCATAACTACCAAGACCACCATAACCGTATCCGTTGGAACCCGAGCCATATCCTCCGTATCCTCCAAATCCTGTAGAATAGGGCACTGCAGGTCCTGAGTATTTCTTGATGGATACAGTAGAAGTAGCGGGTCTAGATAAACCGGCAGAACCATATCCATAACCTCCGTACCCATATGATCCGGACCCATAATCTTGCCATCCATTTCCATATCCCAAGTTATTTGTTCCGTATCCCAGTTTGGATCCAATGCCAAGGTTTGAGCCATAGCCAATACCTAATCCTTGTCCTAAGCTCGTACCGTATCCGAGACCTGATCTAAGACCTAGATTAGATCCATATCCTAAGCCATGTTGACCTAGACCTAGTCCACCGGAAAGGTTCCCACCGCGCGCCAGACCAAATAGGCACAGGATGACAGCGATCTATAGGAAAAAGAAATCAAAGTTATTAAAAGAAAATTTGTAATAAGTAAAACTTTAACCAATAATTATTCATTAAGGCACATCTTTTTCTATCAATGGTTTTGGATATTTTACTGCTTTTTGTTAAGATTTTCTCGTTTTAAGATTTCTTTAACTACCAAATGAAATAAATCATTGCATAAAAACACGAAAAATCTTATCATGCCCATATACAGTATTGAACTTTTTTGTATGTTAACTTATTGTAATTGAACTTTTTATTTATTATATTAATATTACAAAATTTTATCTCATTTAGCCGTATTCTAATTAATGAGATCTCACCTTAACGGCCATTGTTGTGGGCTGTTTAACTTTGTATTGTTGTATGTTTAGATTTGCGAATATTTTTGTTTATATACTCTTATTTTTGTAATGCAATAACCTTGTTTTTGATGAGGTTCATAATTTTTTACTGCACAAGATAACAGATGTAGCAACAACTGTAATTCTAAATGTATTCAATAGGTTCTTTAATTGCTGTTACTATCCTAATGATTTAGTAATTCAACTTTACATGCTATTTATCGTCATATAGAGTATTAAATGATGTAGATATATTTAAACTCTATATGAAACCATATAATTGTAGGAATTAGTGTGTATTTTTAAGTAACTAGCAGATCCAAGCAGAACCCAGAATGCGTCGCAAAGTAATAGTAAAAATAATGTCAAAATGTATAATGGAATTCAATGGATATGAGACATTTTATTTACGCATTTCGATTGTTGACAATATCATTAATCGTCTATGGATTTTTTTTTTTTAGTTTTTAATACCATGTACAAATGTGTATGTCTCTAATAAGTTTGATATTACAGCTATTATAACTATTATAATTATTATAAAGTTATATTTAATAAAGTTAATAGTCCATTTGTAAATATGTATGAATATCTTTGCTTAGAAAAGACAATAAACCGTAAAGATAAGTAAAGATTATGTTTACTCTAGAATTTCCCAAGACACCTTAGAAGTTTTGACGCAAATAGCGTAAAATGAAACCGTAACATATTGATATAGTAAAATAAGCTAAACTTGTCACATTCAAAGTTTAAAACATATTTCGTAGTAATTAATTACGTTTACAAATTCTATGTTGTGAAGCTTATGACTAAATAGCGGTTACCCGCGACTCCGTCTGCGCGGAATTAAAAAAAAAACATAATACGTAGCCTAAGTGTTCTTCCAGACTATGTTCTATATGTATACTAAATTTCATCGAGATCTGTTTAGCTGTTTTGATGATACATTCAAACAAACATCCATCCATTCATCTAAACATTCTCATTTATAATATTAGTAAGATTTCAATCAGTAAAAAATGTCTAGGTTTTGTGGTGTAGTTTTAAAAAAAACATTACAGGGGGTCGACTGCAGTGACATTTGTATAGCCACATCATATTGTCATCTCTTAGATTCTTTTTGAAAAAGTAGAGACAAAATTATGTACCAATATATGTGTGACTTTAATAAGGTCTGTTATTAAATTGTTACTAAAGTAAATATCGCGTATGAACGCGAACTAAAAAAATAGTAAAGTACAGATTATCAAGTTATCTTGCAAGACATACCAGAAATATCGATCAACATTTTATGTTGCAATATTCGTTCTAAATATATATATACAGCATTCATGTAAAAGTGTTTACATAAAAGAAATTCGAATATATTCGAATACGAAGATAAGTGCCCCGTAAAACAATTTTTGTTTTAAATCTTTTCACCAATAATTGACAAAATGACTGAAGAAGAAGAAAAGATGCATAAGATAATGTCTGATTAAAATTTGTTTTTGAAAATATTTTGGGATAAATTTAGCGTAAAAAGTTGAAACTCTTTATTGAACTCTCTGTTTACATGCGTTTAGTTTACAGTAGATAAAATTAATATAAACTTTTTCCAATATTAGTGTTCTCATATTGTATTTTTAATCGAAGAAGAAAAATATAAGAATAAATCGTTTCTTTTTTTAATTTGCACTGATTTTAAATACTGGTATTTTACTAGGCAACTGTGGAAAACATTAGAATTTCATAGTATTGACTCGCAGCTGAGTAATGTTGAAAGATGATCAGAATTAGACCAATATGTAGCAGGCTAAATTATTCAATTACTTCTTTAGAAAGATGCGGAAGGTTAAAGAAAGACATTTTTATTAGTTCACTGATTTATTTTTACTCATTTTAGAACACACATAATGTTATTTCTTCACCAATTATTTCCATAGCCACCGAAACCCTGTCGGTACCCTCCATATCCGTAACCACCATAGCCCTGGTTGCCGTAAGATCCAAGACCATAGGCACCATAACTGCCGTATCCTCCGGAGACGGGTGAAACTGGTGAGGGTGGATGTACTGTACTGTATTGGGTCACTGAAGCTGGTAAACTAGAATAGACTGAATTAGCTCCGTAACCTCCATAGCTTCCGTAATTGCCTCTATAACCGTTGGATCCATAACCTTGCCAGCCACTGTATCCTTGACCAGCTCCGTATCCTAGACCTGTACCGTATCCGAAGCTTGAACCGTGACCCAGATTAGCGCCGTAACCTAAGCCAGATAAATGTCCACCATATCCATGACCTAGTCCCTGCTGAGCTAGAGCTGGTGAGCCGAGAGCGGAACTACCGTAGAGGTTACTGGCACGTGCCAAACCGAAAAGGCATAAGACAACAGCGATCTGTAAAAAGTAAATTTATAGCCGTGTTAAATAAAAATAAATTGTCCGTTTATTTAATTACACTCTAATAAATTATTGAAACTTTCATGAGACATTGTCATAAACTTACATTAAACCGCCTAAAACACTCACGTATGTTCGTCTGGTGTAGGCACCGAGTAGTTTCGAACCCATCAGTCATCGTCTTAGGTGCTTCCACCGGACGAACATACTGGTTTTAGGCGTTTTTACATAAGTTTTCACTCTAATCATCATCAACTAACAAAATAGAAACTGCTAGATGAAGATCTTTGGATATATCGACACTTGTTGCTAATATTTTCTTAAAGTCTTACCTTCATGTTCATTGTTGTTGATGTCTTAGCTTTGTAGAGAGGAATGTGGTCTTGTACAAAATCTTCTGCTTATATATGCAAATGTTGAAAATATATTAACCTTGTTAAAGCAACTATAGGCATCAGTAAAAAATATGTCGAAAAGTGTAACAAAAGATTTTTTACATCAATCAGGTGATTGTCGGAATTACCCATATTCATAAAGCAGGTTATAAAGCTCTCTGTAACTACGTTGATGGTTTTACATGTCGATGTTACTTTACGTAATACAGCATAATATTGTTACATTTTTAAACATTGTGATTTGCCTTGTTGGCTATAAGATACCAAAGCTGTAAAACTTCACGTACTTTTCATATTTATGATCCTATTTCTTTAGATTAGTGTTTGACTTAGCTTATGCTATGTGATTTGTGATAATTCTGGCACCATTGGATGTACTTGTGGTGTTTATGTCTTATAATTTGTGATAAATTAAAAAATATGCTATAAAATATTTTAAGCTAAATAAAACTGCGAAAATCACAGTAAAAAATCATTAAATCTAAAAATGTATTAAGCGATTATACACTATTTCGTTTTTATCCATCTTAAATGATCCGAGTTTTTTATTTTGTAAAACGCTACAGAATTTTTTTATTTTATCGTCTAATCGGACAAGCGACCTGTACGTTGTAGATCCGGAAAATAACGAAGAAAAAGATATTTTTAAAATACTTATTTTATGAAACTCATAGATTTATATTTCTACTTATATGTATTTACTTTAATTTTTTTAATATCTCATCTCATAAATTAACTCTATTACCGAAATAAACAGCACTATTTTTCTTAATCCACTCTCATAAATAGGAACGTGATAGTTTACCAAAACAAGGTGAAAAAAGGAATTTTAAATTTTAATATACTTAAATGCTTAGATCGTTGCAGCATCAGGTAAAATTTAACATCCTTTCTATTATCATAGTGTTTTTATTTTCATATAAAGTTAGGTTTCAAGAACTTATTTTATTCCCTATAGGACATTTTTAGTGCCAAGCAGTGGTTGGTATTTATGATATAATTTTATAGAATTTATAAAAAGTTATGTGTGACTACAGTCAATCGTTGTGAACAATATTTAGCACAACCTTTAAGTTTATTAATTTACCCACTATTTATTACTAGCGGAGTCGTGTAGAACAATATGCGACTTCGCCTTCACGGCATTAAAAAAAACTTTATGCGTTCTTACAGACTATGTTCTAGATCTCTGCCAAATTTCATCGAGATCCGTTCAGTGTCAAAAGTATCCATGGCAAATTAGTCTTATCGATAATTGTAAATGTATGTGTGTTCTTGGACCCAGAACTGTTGTGTGGATTGCAATATCATAGGTGTGTGAAGATAATACTTTATCAAAATGTTAATGTAAACTTTTTGTTTAAAATAGAATACATTTTATTCTTAAAGTATCTGACCCCTGCAAGATTTATTGATTTAAACTCTTTACTAAGATAAGTAGCTTAAATAATTAATATATACCTCGGACAAAGAATTAGTTTAGCTATTCAAATAGGGAACGCTGCCAGTATCTTCGGCACCTTGCCTGAAGGGACTCCTTTCAATAATATATTTTAGGTAATTATTCGTTTTTGATATTTTATTTAATATCATAGATTTAAGACTTTTCATGTAAAATACTAGCAAATCTAACGTCATCTTAATATTTTATTAGTGTAAAGGATTAATTATATTTATATCTGTACGTGATACTTCAGTTTCATATGTTATCATTATAAAAAAGTGGGATCTCTAAAATGAACTTCAGAATAAATTAAAAGAGTAACTGGTACTTTGTCATTAATGATTTATTTATTAAAATCAACATTTACATTGTTCCACACATTCACCATTTGTTGGCATAATTTTGATATCCGTGTCCATATCCACCGTATCCATAACCACCATATCCTTGGTGGCCGTAAGCGCTAGCCGGAGAATAAGCACTGTGACCACTGAATCCTGCAGAATAAGCTGCACTAGGGGCAGCTGTGTGTACTGTCGTGTACTGAACAATAGAAGCCTTCTCTGGTCCGGCATAGGCGGAGTTTGCACCATAACCACCATAGTTTCCATAACCGCTTCCATAACCTCCATGACCATATGAACCAGATCTATACGATCCGGATCCATACCCCTGCCAACCGTTGTATCCTTGACTACCTCCGTATCCTAGACTTGCACCGTGTCCGAAACTAGAACTGTATCCAAGACCTGAGCTATGTCCCAGACCGCCGTATCCGAGGCCGCCGTATCCGAGGCCGCCGAAACCATGTCCTAAATTAGCACCTACTGATGGATATCCAAGGTTAGTCCCGAGACTTGCCCCGTGGTGCGCTAGGGCAGATGAACCGAGCGCTGATCCACCGTGAAGATTTCCGGCATTAGCAACTCCTAATAGGCACAAGACTACGGCAATCTGCAATGAAGGAAAACAATTTTAAGAATCTTATTAAATGTTTATTTTAGTAATTATGATTCACAAATAGTGAAACTAAAAATCATTCATCGCTCCTACGACTAGTCTTAATATGTTTAGTTGTAGACCTGTTATTTAGAGATGGATTGAATGAAAGCCTTTCAAATGAACTAAGACACAGTCGATTTTTATAAACAAAGAAAAAACCAAGAAGCAAATAAAACAAAAACCGCTCAAATAGACCTATGTTTAGCTTACCTTCATGGTCATTGTTGTTGTTGCTTTACTTTTTAAGAGAGGAATGTGTTATTGTACAGAAAAATCTGCTTATATATGCAAGTATTTGAACATTTATTAACCTTGTTGAAGCAACTGCAAAAGATTAAAAAGATGAAGAAATAGGTAATAAAAGATTTGTTGCACCGTACAAGTTATCATCAAGATTACCCTTCGTCCATAAAATATGTAACAATTTTTCATATTGTTTACTTCGTTCGCAACAATATTACGTAACTTTGCATCAAGTGTCATGCGATGCGGATATAGCTTTTAATATCTTACAGTTCTGTATCGCAAACTATACTATAATTTAAAAAAAAACAAGGTAACCGAAAATTATTTTTCAATAAACGGGCCAGACATATTTTTTCAAACAGATTCTTAATAGTTAATTTGACCATTCCATCTAGTGGTTTATGTAACATGTAGAGTATCCTTTTTATAAATAACTAATAGTTAATTAAAACGTTAAGCAAGTTACAGGGTTTTGGTTAAATTGTTGCGAAGTTTGCAAAACTCTGGAATAAGCTATTCGGTAAGTTGTAACGTAGCCAAAAGTTTAAACTATAAGGGATTAATTTGGTAGATGTGTATTTGTTTTAAGACCACAAATAATACAATACACAATAACAAGCGTATCTGGTGTAAATCAAAATGTTTATCCTTTGTAGTTAAAAGGAATAAATATGTTGTAATACAAACATACACTTAAACATCCTTTTTGGAGTAACGATGAAACTTATTAAGCCATCATTAAACCAGGGCATTGCTTAAAGTTAAACATAATTTATTGAAAGAATTAACAATCAGAATAATCGTTACAGAACTTTCCTGATTCTAACTCCCTCCACGATCGCTTTCGGTGTTTTATTAGCCTGTGATCTTCTTGGCCAACGCATTCATCACCTGAAATATTTGTTTTTGTGACTTGAAGGTAGTCCGTATAGAATTAGACTATGAGCCTGGGAACTGCTACCACAGCGTGATGTGTGCTTTCATACAGTTGCAGCATCCTTGCTGTTCTACGCACGATGATGATGGATGATTATATGAGCCCTTGTGCTTCGTGGAACGTTAAGAGTCGCGATCCATCACCGGAACCATAACCTTTGTTATTTAAGGTCTCCTTTTACTCTTGTGTGAAAACTAGGTAAATGGTGCGGTCCTAATTTTTGTATGTTCTGTGAAACATTCGATCTTGAATGAGCCTTGGGTTTAACAAATTGGAATAAAATGATCTTACTCAAAATTATTAACGTTTACTATTAATGTCGGTATACTTTCAAATGCGTTGTGTTTTATTGTTAGTCTTGGTTATATTATTCATATTTGTGATATTATTTAAATATATGAATATATAAGATAAATAATAAACCCAGTGGAGCTTGCAGCGCTGAGAAGTGATTACGTATTACCATATTGTACGGTCCGTGCACGCCTTTGTTGCGTTCTAAAGGCTCTATTACTCTAACAGTTATTGAAATAACGACAATTATTATAAAAACAATACATAATTGTAACTTTCTCTTTATCCTTTGAACGTTCAATCGAAATATCGAAGCATAAAGAGCAAGTTACTGGTATTGGATAGAAGACATGTATATTTGTATTTTTTTATGTTAAAGTAATAAGCAGATCTTCCTTAATAACATTCGTAAGAAACTTGGTTCTTACCACGATTGAGCTGTTGAGCTCCCCATATTTCGGCACACTTGCATGCGCCATGATCACGGGTTGACTGATTGAATGTTATTATTGTAAAAACCACGAAAGTTTGAAGTTTCAGGTCTATTCTAATGCATAAGTATGAAATAGCTTTGATTTCTTCTTTTATGATATTATCTGGTCGATTAAATCATATTCTGATAGAGTTTTCTATATTTTAAATGTAAATAAATAGTAATAATTTTTTAACGTAGCTGGATTCAGAATTAAGTAAAAATCATTAAGCAAATGTCTAAGACGTAAAAGGCTTGCGAAAAGATGTAGACTTACTTTGAATTATTAACATAAAGTTACAAAACAATTCATGAATTATTTACAATGCGATTACATCAATAATACAGTTTTATTGAAACACTTTTTTTGTGAAATTATTTTCTTTAATTACCAGTTATTTTCATAGCCATATCCGTTTCCACCGTAACCATAACCTCCATAATTTGGGCTCCCTAAAGGTCCTGCTGAGGCATATGCCCCATTGCCAATGAATCCTGGATTATAGGGTGGGTTTGGTGTAACTGTATTTACAATAGGAGGTAACCCTTGACTGGGGTAGGCTGAATTTGCACCAAATCCACCAAGGCCGATATATCCCCCAGAGTATCCGGGTGCATAACCTTGCCAGCCGTAACGATGGCGCCGTTTTACCAAATTTGTGCCGTAATTAATGCCCAGATTGCCACTATAGCCAAGTCCTGCTGCTTGTCCTAGGTTTGTTCCAAGATTAGATGCACCGAATGCGAATATACCTCGATGTCTAGCGTGTGCAAACGCAAACAAACAAAAGAAAATCGCAATCTGTAAAAAAACAAATGCTTTATCAATAATATTTTACAAATTGAATACTACTTTTCTACAGACCTAAGTTATTATAATAATATATTTTAAACATAATAATAACAACTGTAACATAAAGTGTGTTATGACGTTAGAAAGGACGTTGCTAAAAACCGATACCGGAAGGGAAATGCTATTTCTGAATAAAATTCCAGAAAAGACGAAACTAAAGTTCAAAACTTATAGTAAGAAGGAATGGACGTTTGCCAAATATATGTTTCCTGTTGCCATAAGGTTTTCGTCTTAGAAAACTATAGTAAAATAGAAAAATTAAAAATAAAATTACCTTCATAGTAACTGACATAGCTGACTTTAGTTTGAAAAAGAGAAGACTAGTTGCCATACAAAAAATACTTCTTATATATGCGACAATGTCGAAAACGTAAGCCTTATTAAAACAATTGATTCGGCTCAGTACATTTAGAAATAGGCAATGAAAGATTCTTTACATCGATCAAGTCATTTTTTAGATTACACTAACGTAACAAAATTCTTTGTATGTGTATACAGTGTAGTCAACAGAATATTACGTAAGCATGGTCTGAATTACAAATATATTATTCCATATAAAGAATGTTTATAAGATTATATTATTTTAAAAACTCAAAAACACGATTTTTTGGATTCTCTACGCACCGATCGGGAACGAATACTGATCTTTTACTGATCTTTAATTACTGATATCTACACAAGATGTAGACGGCTACAGAACTATTCTCTACTCCTATTTTTATACTTTGCCTATAAAATATCAAAGTCTTAAAAGTAATTAAAGACGTTACACTTAAGGAAGTTTAACGACTTCAGAAAGGGTGAGTGGGATTTGTTGTGTTAAGGGTAAGTATTGGGATCAAAGAGGGCGAGACTAACATTCATTGGTATTCCATTTGCAATATATAAATTAAGAAGAATAATTGAAATATGAAGTCCTCGTCTGTTCAGTACTAAGTAGCAAGCAGTACTAAGAGGCTTAAGTCAGATGCGTGACGAGAGATATTTATTTTCGAATGATCTAGGAACCTTCAAACTAGAAGTAAAACAACAAGGCCCATTAATGCATTTTATTTATTAACTAATATCAACGCAGAATATTTTAATTAGAATATTTGAATAAAATAAACGAATTAAATAATGTACATATTTTTTCTTGACTTAGATTCCATAAATCTTTAATTGAATTATTACCACTTTTTACCATAACCTCCATAGCCGTGACCGTATTCGTTTCCATAAATGACACTTGGAGGATAGACACCGTGTACGCCGTATTGTGACGAGAATGGAACTGGTTTGGCTGAATGTACGCTGTACTGGGGAAAAGTAATCGGTTGCCTGGATTAGGCTGAATTTGTCCCAAAGGCAGTAAGTCCATTACCGTTATAACCATTAAAGGCATTGAATCTGGATCCATAACCTTGCCAGCCGTTGATTCCTTGTCCAGCTTGATATCCCAGAGTTGCACGATGTCCGAATCTGGTCCCATATCCGAGAGTTGACGTATGAGGCAAATTAGCACCGTATCCGAGGTTAGGTAAATATCCTATATTTGTACCATATCCGGGATCTAATCCATCTTGACTTAGATACGACGAACCGAATGCAGTTCTACCGTGTAGGTTTTCAGACAACGCCAAACCGAACAGGCATAAAACAATTGCAAACTGTAAAATAGAAAAAAAAATTGATGATTAAAAATGTAAAGTACAATAATAATCAGTACAAGTCTGTCCTTGTCAAAACTAGGATTTATAGCTTCACCAAAAGTAACGAAAATGAGAAAATGTGTAATAGAAATCTATATTATACTACAATTAGTGTTCTACTTAGAAAATATGTAAGAGAAATGATCTTTATTTCAAAAAATTTTTGGAATAACTACTAGGACTATTATCTGAAAACTAACAAGGACTGGACATTTGCCAACTGTTTTTGTTGTCTTTTTTTTAAATGCCTTCAGAATTCAATCAATAGCCAGCAACCAAAAAACACGGTTTATTTAAAACCTCACCTTCATGGTTTTTGTTGTGAATGCTTTAGATTTGATCCGAGGAATGATTTTTTGTTCGAAAATATCTGCTTATATATAAAAGTCAAACACGTATTAACCTTATTTTTTTACCAGAATTATGATTTCAGATGCAACTGGTATGAAATATGTATTAAAAGATATTTTACATCGATCAAGTAATTTGGATACGATTTTATTTATGACGTAACTATATTGTGTAAGAACAAATAAGCTAGCTTTCCCCGATTCATGTTTCGCTTTGAGTATTTATTTCTTTTTTATCGTGGTCGTGCCTAATCATCATTGACATAATTCATTTTAACTACTGCTTCATATTCAAGTTAAAGATACTATGACCACAGTCCACGTGTTCGTGAAAAAAAACATAACAATTTAAATGTTAGTCTGATTCATAAAACTTAGTCTGCGTACTATGACGTCAGCGAGAGAGAGATAAATTTATTATTTTGCATAATTTACACAGACAAGCCGATCGAAATCATAATGCTCGTATTTTATGCCTTTCATGTTGTTATTTCATGATCAATCTTAATTTTCTGCGGATTTATTTTACATTAGCTACTTAAATATTATTTGTTGTATTAAAAATAAAACCAAATATTGATATTGATATTGATTTATTTCGTTTTTACAATTTAATTATTCACCACTTGCCGTATCCACCGTAAGCCTGTCCGTATCCACCGTATCCGTGGCCGCCATAACCCACAGCCGGGGCGTATGCACCATGAGCGCCGTATCCGGTAGAGTATGCCACGACGGGGGTTGAATATCTCTTGACTGACACAGTGGATATAGCGGGCGCAGCATATCCGCTGTATCCACCGTATCCACCATAACCGAGGGAGCCGTATCCGCTACCGTATCCGAGACCACCGTAACCTAAACCAGCACCGTGTCCGTATCCGGCGTATCCGATACCCGCTCCATGATCGAGTCCCGATGTGTAACCAAGACCAGATCCGTAGCCCAGACCTCCACCGTAGCCGAGGCCAGTACTGTATCCAAGACCGGTCGAGTATCCAAGTGCAGATCCTCCGGCTAGATGGCCTGCGCGCGCCAGACCAAAGAGGCACAATACTACTGCGATCTGAAAAAAAAATGACTGTTTCATATATGTTTTTAATAAAGTGTAGCTAACTGAAGCTATTTATAGTATGCATTGGTAAAAATGACTTAGTATACTATAAGTATTAACTATTCCAGATAGCGTATTTGAGTGCCAGGAATAATTGGCTATGAGCCAGTCACAGGGTTTCTGAGTTAAGTAGTTAATATAAGCAAAGCTCATCTGTTAGTTAACCTTTCCTCGTGCCTCTCTGGAAGTTACCAATAAAACTTTTGGAACAGTTAATGGAGCTAATGGAGCTAGCCACCATAACTCTATATATTTGTACTTATTATTTTGAAGATTCGTTAGTACGTTATGTATTTTAAATAAGCTGTTTTTTAATAATACCATAAATATTTATATTTTTAAAGATCAATTAATAAATAATAAAAAGTAACTGTAGCTATAAAGTGCAAGAAATAAGACCCAAAGCGTACATAAAATTTTCGGTGTAGCGAATCTAGAGTACTGATATAAATCCTTTCTTTATGTTAGGACTTATTGTTAGAGCAGTCTTGGACGTTTGCCAAGTCCGTTTATTTTATAACTCCAAATCTAAGAACACAGCAACGTAATACAACTCAAAATATAGAGAATACTTGAGAAAAAATGATCAAAAGAAAATTACTTTACTTCTTAACCAGTGTTAGGTAAATATTACTAACACCTTTGTTTACCAAACATTTTTCATACTACTTAAAAAAATCACAACATTTTGATTCCACATATTTTGAGTAGGAATTAATTTATGCAATTAAATAAAAACAAAACACTAATGACTAAGGGAATCCTAGACAAAATACCACCGTCCATAAAACACCAAGTTCACATTTAAATGAAACCCAAAACTGGTTTACTTCAAACTACTATTTTACTTAATGCTAAGGATATAAAATATTATGATGGACTTACTTTAATTGCCATTGTTGTTACTTTAGGTTTGAGGAGTAGAATGATATTTGGAGCGCAAAATTTAACTTTATATACTCAAATGTCGGAAACGTAATCTAACCTTGTTCTGGCAAGGCTCATGACTTCAGCAGCCATTGTACAAAGATAATAGCCACAGCAGTAGGCATAAGTACTGCGTATAATTTAAATTGCACCTCTCGAGCGGATCGACGGCGAAGGTTCTGTGAAAAAAGTTCTAATCACAATGCCAACAAATGAATACCGAATGTTTATAGTTCCACTCCGCGGATCATTCATAATGTTTAACAGATAACTTAATAACATGATAAAATATGTGCTCCCACGTCTTTTAACTTCACAGCAAGTTTAATCAGATTTACCGAGATGATCATAAATAAAAGGGACGAAGCTTTGATTTTGTTATCTTTAAGCGCTTCGTCGTAATTATGAATCTTCATATAGGCCTAGTAATCTCTAATTTTGGATAGACTCCGAGCTCCTCAGTGGAGCCGTATAGTGAGCTGATGATGATGTTGATCCAGCCCTGGTTGATTCTAGGAAGAAGAATCGTACGTCTAGCATGAGCTTGGCTAAAGTATTTATCAAATTTTAGGAACAAAATATTCAAATTTTACTTTCTCCTGAAATCAAACAAAATTGGAACAATACAAATAAGTCAAGTAGTAAATAAAAAATAGAGTATTTTATTAATGTACGATGAAGTTGATTCTATGTAAATAGATTTCTGAGAAAGAATCTGATATTTGAATTTTAATACGTCTCTGAGGGATCCAATGTATATTTAATTTTTAAGCGTACTTCGCTTTAAATAAATTTATTCAAATGACAACTCAATAGGGAATTTCCTTTACGTTCAGCCAATATTTCTTGATATTTTATATCCGTAGCAAAAAAAGAGAACATCAGTGATAAATTAAAAAGAAGAGAACGAAGACCTAAGAGAAGATATGATTGCTGATAATATGAATAAGTTTAACATATAACTAATAGCTGACTTCCTCACCAGATACAGGATTCTACATAGATTTAATTTACATTCTCAAGATTTATTTATTGTGTTTACAAAATTAATTAATTTTAATATCATTCAGCTGTTTGTTCCGTAGATCAAAAACTTTAATTAAACCTACACGTTCCCCATCCTCTTAATAAATAGGAAAGTCATCGTGGCGCGTAATCTGTGCTCTCGAACAATGCGTTATTAAATCAACGAGGGCGGCAATTACTTCGGCAATTTATCAACACAACGACACTCGCCTTCAAGCGATGTAATAAACAAGAGTGACGAAAAGGCTACTGTGAGGGGAACGTACTATGATCGCATTTGTCACGACAAAAATAGATCACGCAATAAGATATTAGAACGAAATATGACGCGTCAACACGCCCGTAAACAATCATCATGTTTTTGTTTATTTCCATTGTATAAATCATGAGTACACTGTACCAGTTCTGACAGCTAAGACAAACTTAATATTGATCAAGGACTATGCTCTGTAACTTATTTACTGTAGGTTTCTGAGACCAAAATCTTTGTATTAAAATATATCGTCATCCATGTCCCACTTTGACAAAATTGAAAGAACAGTATGTTTTAAACAGAGATTTTGGTCTGAGAACCATATGGTTAGTGTATAAAATTATGACGATGAAGAAAAATCTATCTTACTTTCTTAAATTAAAGATCATAAAGTCTATGTGTCCTGAGTATAAAACCTAGTACAACGATACTTGAACCATTCGGTACATTTATCTAACAACCGTGAAAAGCGCAGACCTTTCCAAACAGTATCAACCTTGAGACGTGCTGTTTAAAGTCGGTACACACAGATGACTATCGCTCGGTTAAAGCAGCTATTATAATGAGTAATGACCACCAAGTGTAGCAAACAGTTTATATTACAATAAAAAACGTTTAAAAATCATATAATTTGATACTATACTTTACGTTTTTTGTCAATATGTAATTAACAATGTACTTAAAAATGTAACGTTCGTAACATGAGTATTAAATGAATTAGCCCTAATTTTAATTTGATGAGATTTTATTTATTGTTATACAGTGTTTTATTTTAAATTGCTTCTCATTTTTTTTGGATCAAATCTAGTAAATATAATTAAACACTTTCCGTTGAAAGATTCGTCTGAAATTTGGTCCATACCTTAATTTTGATGACGGTACTACTATATTAAATGATAAAAACTCATTTGATTCAACGAGATAATTGTTTTTTTTTAAATCTTTTGTGAGGAGTGACCTACACTTGTTTTACTCTTTCCAATCAAATGTTTGAAAGTCCTTTCTTGCATCTAAAACCACACGATTTTTTTTATTCTTTATCTAATAGTTCAACGGTAAATTGAACTCCTCATTATAGTAATAATTTTTAATTTACCTCTTAATTCGTGTATAAAATGTAAAAACAGCTTTCGTGGCATTTTTATCTGAGTCAATCTGGACAAAATCACTTTTTTCACATATGCTCAGATTTATACAAATTTACTAATAGTGGCTTTAGTAATCATCAGGCTCGCGACCTCATTATAGACTGTCATACGTTACGTGACTATTTCATGGTGTGAATAATAGAAAAAAAAATAGTTTGGCATTTAAAATTTTATTCGCGTTGTATCACAATAAATATATAGAAAACATAACATAACTAGATTTTCACTTTCATGTTAAGATGATCACCAACCGTGGCCAGCTAGACTGCCGTAGGAAAGACCGTGTCCCGCTGATATCAAAGCGGACTTGTAGATGGGGCCAGCGGAATACGCACCCCAAGGAGCGGCAGCAGCGTATGAAGCGATCGGGGCAGAGTATGTGGTGATAGGCGCGGCGTGGGCAGCGTAGGTGACTGCAGGAGCGGCAGCTGCATAGGTGGCTACTGGAGCGGCGGCAGCGTACGTAGCGACGGGAGCAATGGCTTTAGCCAGCACTGGTGTACCGTGAGAAGTCTGCGTTGAGTAGGATGACACTGTAGATACAGCTGGCGCAACAGCTTTCACGACAGGCGCAGCTGCGTATGACACTGCTGGTGCGGCATATGACACTGCGGGTGCGGCTGCGTATGACACTGCGGGAGCAGCTGCGTATGACACTGCGGGAGCAGCATATGACACTGCAGGCGCAGAGTATGACAATGCAGGTGCAGAGTATGATACTGCAGGTGCAGCGTATGAGAGAGCAGGAGCGGCGTAGCTCTTTAGGGCGATTGGGGCAGCGGCATATGAAGCGTAAGTCGCTACCGGCGCGGCGTACGATCCTCCGTATAAGTTGCCCGCCTTCACCGCGGCGACCGCGCACAAAAGAACGATGAACTGAAAAATAAAATACGTAAACATTAAACTGTGATTTATCTACGTTTCATACTCTTGTTTGTTATTTATTTGATGTTACATCCGTTCAAATGTCAAAAGTAAATAATAAGTTTGACAGTTGTTGAATAATAGTTCATACGATATTTATAACTGCCATAAATATTCAATCGTTAATAAATCTTATTTTTCTATTAAAAATTGGATTTATGTTTTAAAAAATTAAATTTAAAAATTAAGTCATTTTCAAATTCAGATAAACTGCTTTAGCTACAGGTAACTAAAATGGAAAGCTCATAAAAATTCTACATTGTAGGATATTCCAACATATTATTTCCACAAATATTTCGTTTTCGTACCTTAGCTGCCATTTTGCTTTAGGTATTAGATCCACGGCAAGTGATACGGATTAAGTAAATGTCTGCACTTATATACCCATTGCGTTCTTACCCCCGCACGAGCGCACATACCTTCTATGTAATATTTTATATATTAACCACTTTAGGACCCCGCTACGGATGTCAAGTGGAACATAGGCATTAAATTTTAACACTGTGTCCAGGTGTGTCTAATTTACTTACGACATTGTATTAGTTGTTTCAACGTCTAGTTGATTTCTATATTTAATATGTTTTAATGCTTAGCCCTAATATTTTATTTACATTTGTTAAATTTATATTGATGAATAAGAGAAAAATTTATAAGAAGATTTTGCTTAGCTTCAAAATTTGGAGTGACAACTATGTGTATGTTTAAATTAGCTTAAAAAATTGGATATTATTTGGCTAATTTGGTTTAGAAATTAATTATACCAAAGCAAGCGTTTAATATTACGTTAAGCATCACCTTTTAAAAACTACGCTGCTAGTATAAATCGTATAACACGAAAGTAAACCTTATGTGCAAAATATATTCAATTACATGTTATTTTCTAAGCCACTGAGCTGAACAATATAGAAAAATAATTCCAAAATATGTTAATGGATTCTTAAAGCATTGTTTTACGATAATGTAATAGGTCCCCAGCCAATGTTGACTTCAGTGAAGCGACGTTATTGCTCAAACTTACTGTATACTTAAAACTTTGGAATAATTTCAACTTTTCAAATCATTTTCATATTGCTTCGATCTTTGAACGTATTATGTTTCTTTTGAATTACTTCTAATTATTATGATATCTTTACCCTGAATTATAAAACACGTGGACGTCTCTTTCATTCTCTTTGAAATGAAAAAAAGAGATAACTGTATGGTTTTGTATATTTAATTTGCCAAAATAACGTACTTGTTTAATGGTAAATTCTACTATATCCTGTTATACTTTATGTTTGTTCGAAAAATTGTAATCGCTATCTCGTACTTTATTTTTTATTAAATACGCCTCTTTTTCATTTCGGTGCGTAGTAGCGGACACTAAACGTCAAGTGAAGAATGCTTCACCTGAAAAGAAGTGTTTTTGTCTGCTGGATAAAGTACCTTACGTGTTGCAATTATATTAATTTGTTAACAACATGCTCCCCTCTGTATTAAGTATACTATAAGGCATTAGTACCGCATGCTTTAAAAGTTGCTTGATGCTCTTCTTAAGTACACAAAAAGGTTCTCCATTTGAGACCACCACGGTATCAGTTAGTGTCTTAAAATAAATAGTTCTAATAAATCAATTAAAGCCGATGTTATATTAACTTAAACAATACAGTAGATGTTGTAAGTTGATGTAATCTGAACGGAAAATTCCAATTTATCTTTATAAGGCAGTAGATTGGTTAAAATACGCCCGGTTACAGTTCACTTTCTATTAGACACAGGAACTAGTCTGTTGTAAATGTATTTAGTCTTATAACGAATAACATATGTTTAAATCTAGGCCGAATCTTGTGTCAGCCTATTTATGTTTACGTATTATTTGGGGAAGCGCTTACAGCTTATATTTGTCATTTGTTAGTATTTCCTGAATGTACAGTTTTACTTTAGGAGTCTCTTGATTTCTTTTCAGTTATAATATGTTTCAAATACAGTCTCGATGGTCTGGCCTAATTCATGGAAGGCCCGAGCATGCCATGAATTAGGGATGACTAGAATTTACTTTAGTGATTTAATAATCTCAAAATTATTATGTTTAATTCTAATAACATTACGGTTTTTTATTATATGTCCTACTGCAAAGCAAATGACTATATTTTGAATTTGAATCCCCGACTAACAATGTAATTCTTTAATTCAGTCGTAAGTTTTTCTATTAAAAACAAAGCTAAAATTCCTTGTGACTAGTAATTATTTCAACCTTCGTTATTTCTATATTTGATAGCAAATAGTTTTAACGAGCATTTTAATTGGGCGATGTTTTACCAATAAAAAATATGAAATTGCAAATCTAGTTTATGTGGCAATGAAGAAACACGAGTTATAAATTTGTTAACTCTGTCTATTAATTAGTGTATGAAACAAAAGCAACAATTTGTTGTAGCATGTACACGTGAATGTAAATTGTTTAAAAATAAATCCTGGTATATGATTTTGTACAACAGGATTATTAAATACTCACTTAACAGAAGCTTTTTCAAAGTATCAAGTTACTGACAGTAATATTTAGGATCATGATTACTAAATATTTAGAACATTGAAATTATTACAAACTACTTTTTGTCCGCGATTTCGTCTGTACAGAATAAAACATGTATTTCATGTGATATTCGACACTATGTGTAAAACTGTTGCTGAAATCTAATGTTAATATGTTAATTAAACGTATCCCACGGAAACCGTACACATTTTAGGGGTTATAGGTAGACTATGTGTTCTTCCAGAACTACATCTAGTATGTACTACATCTACGTCAAATTTCATCGAGTTTGGTTAAGCTATTGTGGAGATACCTAGTAACAAACGTCTATTCAAACATGAGTAAGATATTAGTTCCAATAGGTAGACGGTTATTGCGTAAACCTGGAGATTAAAATAAAATTTTGCGTAACAAAAAACGAGAGCGAAACACAGGATGTATATAACACATAGAGACACATGCATGTAGAAATGTTTAGTGTCGTTCATTATAGAATTTCGTAATTTAGCTCCATTTCATTATTGTTCTATTAGGGCCAGATAAAGGTCCGGCCACGGATCAACAATTCAACTTTTGCGACACACGTGGACAGGTCAGTCGTGCTCAAACGTGATCTCCAGGGCTGTCGACTAACAATTTTGCAATAAAGTTGAATTATAAAATGTAGCCGTAAAGTTGGTACTCACAGAAACGTGTAAATTTTATTTACGTCGTACAAAATCGATTTAGAACCTAGACAGTAATTCTAAAGTCAGTCAGACAAGTTATTAATATCCAAATGCCTTTAAATGTAGTCTTATACCTTATTTTTTTGCAACTAATGACATACTTGATGTAATTAAATGGATCAAAAAAATTGTGAGAAAATACTATTACAACAATTTATGTTTCCCAACCCTATCTATACGAGCCTAATTTATTTAAGCTTGAGATGCATGTATTGTACGAGTATTATGTATATCACGCGTTGTAGTGACAACATAGAAAGTTTTTGAGTGATAAAAGATCTGCTGACACAAAGAACTTCTAGAAACGAAGTCAAAACGTTTTTTTTATTTTATTGTATAGTTTTTTAGGGCACGAACATTATTATCTGACTGCTCTTTGGCGTCTATGGAACATCCTACCTTTCCTAAAAATTGTCCAGTGGTTTAAGATCGCGTATGGGACAGTTCCTTATTTCCTATTTTACTTCTTGCAAAACGCAACAATTTACTTTGTTTACGTTAATTTATATTCTATACTTTAATTATATTTGAGATTAAATTTAAATTAAAAAAATCTTGCCTACGGCTTTTATTTCACGATTTCTTTGCCGAATTCACGAATCCTCTGAAGTTAATTGTGTTGTTTTAAATTCAAAGAGTGTTTGTTGGTTTTACCCTAATGAATGCTTCGCTGGAAGTAAATAGCATTTGTAAAGAGTTTAAGATAGATTTTTATCAAAGTTGGGGTTTTCTCACATACATAGATAATTGATATCTTGATACTTTTACATTCTTCAAAATTATATTTTTTTATATTGCAATTTTGTTTTTGTAAGTAAATTAGCATACTAGTAGTTGGAACAAATTAAAGAGCGATGGCGCACTAAGGTTTACGTCACTTCTTCCACTTGAAATTATATTTTATTATATTATATTTTCATAATTTTACATAACAAATTCTAATTACGTTCATATTAAATTATTCAAACTTTCGTGAGACGTTATACTAAACTGATATATAAACACGGCTAAACACTCACGTATATACGTCCGATGGCGGCACCGACTAGTTTCGAGCCCATCGAGGGCCCTTCATCAGGATGAGTGGTACTGGTATTATTTCGCGGACGCGGCCCGTCGCTCAGTGATGAAGGGCCCCCGATGGGCTCGAAACTAGTCGGTGCCGCCACCGGACGTTTATACGTGAGTGTTTAGCCGTGTTTATATATCAGTTACGTTCATATTATTATGTATGCTGTATATTTTCTTCTTTATTTAGGCATAGCAATATATCTTTTTAATTAAGCGCTATCTCTAGCTAATAAACATTATGCCTTACTCTAATTTCGTCCACATAAAGGCGCTAGACGTTTAAGTGCCTAATAAGTTTCTGAACCTAGCTTAAGTCAAGATTAAATGACACGTTAAATTAATTGCAAACGCATGTCAAAATAAGATTACTTTCATTGCTGGGATTATGTAATTTGAACGAATTTAAAACATATGCAAATAGTGCGTTTAACGTCAAATGGCTAATTTACTTTAGTTTACTGATAAATTAAATAGATTGTCGTAAATACCTTAAATCAAACCTTAAGTCAGAGAATTCAATGAACTCGGACTTATACTTTAAAAGTATCAAACTCTTCATAAAATAATCAATGACAGCATTCGGTAATTACAAATCACTGGAGACTCTGACTGGTCTAATTAAGTAGGTTATCTAAAAACTAACAGATTTTTCAGCTTAAAATAGGATAGTAGTCATTGTAATGTATATTTGAACGTCTATTTTAAACATGATAAATCAGTTTGTACGTGAAACCTATATTATGCAATTAAAATAATTTGACCACATGTAATTAATGTCTACATCCATTGAACGTCACATGCGATTGCAGTGAGTCAGCTTACAACACGATTGCGGTTAGCGTTGTTTAGTATTTTAACATTTTAGGAAATAACATGACGTCCTTTATCTAAGTCGATTTAAATATTTTTTTAATAAAATTCCTTATGTTAATTTTATTTAAAGACGACTAACGGGATACTTAAAGAAAATTTTATTTATGTTTTTCAAAGCTTTTGTATTAAAAATAAAGTGTTATTTCATATTGTGAATGATATATCAAATTATTGAAATTCAAAAAAAGATATTGTATGTAAATTATAAATAAGATAAAAATGATAAA